AACGTGTGCAGGGGCCCCAGGCGCCCCCTCAGAGCCCGCCCCTCCAGGGTCTGCTCACCCGCCTCCCCGCCCCCGCAGAAATATCCTCCGCCTCATCAACGCCTTCGACCTGCCTGAGCAGAGCATCTCCAGGGACGACTACGCGGCGGCCCTGGCGCGTCTGAACGTCTCGCAGCCGGCGCGGGTGGCCGGGCTCCCCCCGGAGGCCTGCCGACTGGAGGACTTCCTGGACAAGGTACGCGGGGGCTGTGGCGGGGCCGCGGGTGGCTGCAGGCGTTGATCCGGGGCCGGGGTGAGCCCCGTAGCCCAAACGCAGCGCCTCTGACAGGCCCTGCTCTGCAGGGCGGGTCCGGGCGGGGAGAGTGGGGCTTGGGGCCGCCCAGAGCCCAGAGAGGGCAGCCAGGCCTCCGCTGGCCGCCGTGGGCAGGGACAGTGGCTGGGGGTGGGCGGCGCCCTGCGGGCAGCTGTTGGATGGGCTCCTGAGCCCCGGGCTGGGGGCGTGTGCCCCAGCGCGGGCGACTTAGGGGACAGGGCCCCTCCCGCGGAGGTGCACCCACAGTTTGTGGTGACACGGCCCAGATGGGGCGGGGCCGCCTCACCCTCATCCAGGAGGGCGCCCTGGCCTTCCCGCAGGGAGCGTGTGGGTGGGTGTGCATCCTGGTGTGGCCTGTGCTGGCACACGTGTGTATCCTGGCAGGGGGCGTGCTGGTGCACACATCTGACCCTGTGTGTGTGGGGGGTGTGCTGGCGCACGTGTGCCCTGGCAGGGCAGTGTGTTGGCACACACATGTGTCCTGGCTGGGCTGGGGTGCTAGTGCACACGTGTGTCCTGGTGGCGGGGCATGTTGGCACACGTGTCCCAAGGAGAGGCATGTTGGCACACACGTGTGTCCCGAGCGGCATGCTGTTACACACGTGTGTCCCAGCGAGGGGGGTGTGTTGGCACACACATGTCCTGGCTGGGTTAGGGTGCTGGCACATGTGTGTGTCCCAGTAGACGGGCGTGCTGACACACACGTGTCCCAGGGGCATGCTGGCACATGCGTGTGTCTGGGGGGGGGATGCTGACACACGCGTGTCCCCCCAGGGGGCGGGCTGACACATGCATGTGTCCCCGGGGTCGTGCTGACACATGTGTATTCCCGGGGGCATGCTGGTACACACATGTGTCCCGGGGGGGGGCGTGCTGACACATGCATGTGTACTGGGGGCGTGCTGACACGTGTGTATCCTGAAGGCATGCTGGTACACACGTGTGTCCCGGGGGGCGTGCTGACACGTGTGTGCCCCGGGGGCATGCTGGTACACACGTGTGTCCCGGGGGGCGTGCTGACACGTGTGTGTCCCAGGGGCATGCTGGTACACAGGTGTGTCCCCGGGGGCGTGCTGACGTGCGTGTGTCCCCGGGGGCATGCTGGTACACACGTGTGTCCCGGGGGGCGTGCTGACACGTGTGTGTCCCAGGGGCATGCTGGTACACAGGTGTGTCCCCGGGGGCGTGCTGACGTGCGTGTGTCCCGGGGGCATGCTGGTACACACGTGTGTCCCAGGGGGCGTGCTGACACGTGTGTGTCCCAGGGGCATGCTGGTACACAGGTGTGTCCCGGGGGGCGTGCTGACGTGCGTGTGTCCCCGGGGGCGTGCTGACGTGCGTGTGTCCCGGGGGGCATGCTGGTACACACGTGTGTCCCGGGGGGCGTGCTGACGTGCGTGTGTCCCCGGGGGCGTGCTGACGTGCGTGTGTCCCGGGGGCGTGCTGGCCCACGTGTGCCGTGTTGCAGAGCGCCTCGGGCCCGGGCCTGGCCTTCATCGTCTTCGCGGAGGCCGTGCTCCACATGCCCGCCGCGCCCGCCTGGGCCGTGCTCTTCTTCGGGATGCTCTACAGCCTGGGCCTCTCGTCCATGTTCGGGAACATGGAAAGCATGACCACACCAATCCTGGACCTGGGGGTCATGGCCAGGAGGGTCCCCAAGGAGGCCCTGACAGGTGAGCACACAGCCAGGCACCCTCAGCGGGCGTCAGACGCGCCTGCCCCACGGGGGCTCGAGGGCTGGTCCCCGCAGCTCAGGCCGACCCGGAGGGCCAGGGAGGGCGGGCGGGGCACTGCGTCGGCACGGCCCCCGAGGGTGTCCTCTAGCGGGGGTGCCGGGCACACAGGGGCCACTGGAAACGCCTGACGGGTCGTGTGCAGGCCTGGTCTGCCTGCTCTGCTTCCTCACGTCCTCCTGCTTCACGCTGCGGTCGGGGAGCTACTGGCTGGAGATCTTCGACCAGTACGCCACAGCCCTGAACCTGATCCTCCTGGCGTTCTTCGAGGTGGTCGGGGTCGTTTACGTTTATGGGATGAAGCAGTAAGTCAGCCACCCGGGCTGCCCCTCTGCTCCTGGTGTCTCCCGGTCCCCGCGTGGGCCTTGGGCAGCGGTGGGTGACACAGGCCACCTGAGCGGTGACACACCCCAGCGGACCTGTCCTCAGGCACCGCCTGGCACCACCGCCTGGCTGTGCGGAGGCCCGTGACTAAAGAGCGGACTCCAGCCACGCGCGGGAGCTCCTGGTGTCCCAGGACAGGTGGACCCCAGGGCAGGACGGCCTGCCCACAGCGCCAAGAGCCAACCTCTCCTGGAGGCCTGCGAGGAGGCCCAGCGACATTCTACCATCCTCACCTGGCCCAGGACCGAGGCGCAACCATACTCACACCTGCACTCACACTTGTACCCACACCTGTTTCTCTTAGCTGCTCTCACGTCTCTCACACCTGTTACCCACACATGCACACACACACCTGCACTCACATCTGTCACCCTGCCCGGATGGGGACCCTAGAGGTTGTGATCCCTGACCTTGTGTTCTAAGAGCTCCTGGGAGGCCCTGAATGCTGGCCTCCATGCTGCTCTGTGGGCAGAGGGGCAGCAGGCTAGTCCCCAGGGGGACACGCCCACCTCGAGGGCTGGGAGTAAGCGGCAGATGCAGCAGTGTGTGGGGGACAGGGCGCCCCTGGACTCGGCAGGCCATGAGGTCTCAGAAGGGGCCCCTCAGGCGCCCTGAGGAGGCGAGCTGGGGGGCGTGGACAGGCAGGCGGCCCTGGGGAGGGGTCCTGAGCAGCGGAAACCCCCTCCTGTGTGCGCGGCGGCCGCTGTGTGTCCTGGGCCTCTGTCCCCGTTCTGGGACCCAGGTCAGGCATCGTGTCCCCCACAGCTGGGGGGGCTTCCCTGTGCTCACCAAGCTGGAGCCCCTGACCAGGGCCAGACCACAGGTCCTGCCACTCCCTGGGCTGGGCCCACCCCCTCGAGCCATGACCTGGGGGCGGGGCGAGTCCTCACCAGAACCCAAGGCCGCCGCCTCGTCCAGGGGCCACTCGGGAAGATGGGGACCGAGGTCAGAGTGGAGGTGGGACAGTCCCGTGGGCCACAGCCTGGCGACGGGACGGAGGCTGCCGGCCTGAGCTCGGCGTCTCTGCGGCAGGCTCTGTGATGACATAGCCTGGATGACCGGGAGGCGGCCTGGCTTCTACTGGCGGGCGACCTGGAAGGTCGTGAGCCCCCTGCTGCTGCTGACCATCTTCGTGGCCTACATTGCCCTCCTGGCCAGCTCGCCGCCGGGCTACAAGGCCTGGAACCCCCAATACGTAAGTCCTTTGGGTTGGGGGATGGCCCAGGGACCCAGGACCCAGCCTGACACCCCCCAGTGCCTGCCACACCCAGAGGACAGTCACAGTGGACATCGGTGCCCTGGGGTCAGCCTCAGGCAGCCCCAGGACCACGCGGCCCCTCGGATGGTCCAGGGCAGCTCTCTCCAGAACGCTCCCTCTGACCTTGGGGCTGACCTTGGGTGAGGGCCTTGGTCAGTGTCAGGAGAGGAACAGGTTCCGCACCCTGGTGACCCCGCGGGTCCCTGCAGCCCCTCTCCCGGGGACGTGGCTTCAGGCCACACTCCCCACGTGCCGTGGGGCCGGCTCTGCAGACACCCAGCCGGTCTCGGGTGGGGCTCCGCCACTGAGCCAGCCAGAGCGCAGGGCGTGGCCTGGACTCTGGAGCCAGCTCTCGGCGCCAGGCTGTGAGCTGAGCGCAGGAGCTCCGCCAGCCTGCCTTCCAGCTGCCAGCGCAGAGCTGCCCCGCCTCCAGGGTGGGCACGCAGCCGGCTCTAGTCTCCCGAGAGCAGCCGCTCCACACGGCCAGGCGGGCATAGGAGGAATGGCGCCATCTTCTGGGGGCTCAGCGTGGGGCCTGAGCTCGGGCGGGTGGTGCTCCCGCCACGGAGGGAGCACAGTCTGACTGGACCCAGAGGCCAGCCCCAGGCAGCCCCAGGACCGTGTGGCCCTCGGATGGTCCAGGGCAGCTCTCTCCAGAACGCGACACCCCAGGTCCCCGGGCTGCCCCCCGGAGCCTAACCCCATGGGTGGCTTGGCCGGCCAAGTACCCGAAACTTCAGTTGCCCAAAGCCCACTGCCAGGGAGCGGCCCTGTCCACATGCCTTTCCCACCACCCACCCTGGGGGCTCCGATAGAGGAGACGGGCTGAGGCTGCCCCCCACGCTCACGGCCCCTGTGGCTGAGGGCCAGCCTCCCCCATGCAGGGAACACACGTGGGGCGACCTGCCTGCTTCCCAGACACCCCCCCTCAGTCAGGCCACGTGTCCTGCAGGAGCAGTTCCCCTCGCAGCAGGGGAAGCCCTACCCCAGCTGGGTGCTGGCCGCCTGTGCGCTCCTGTCCTTCCTGCCCACCCTGTGGGTCCCGGTGGTGGCGCTGGGCCAGCTGCTCACCCGGTGCAGAGAGAAGACGCGGAACCCGCCGCAGGACGGAGGCCTGAAGCCGCGGGGCAGCAGGGCCTGCTGAGCACGGGGCCGGGATTGCGGGGAGGCCTGCCTGTGCCGCAGCCGGGGCGGTACCAATACACGTGTGCTTGGCCCCGACAGCCCGTGGTCATCATTCCCGACACTGTCACGCCCGCCAGACCCGCTCACGGCACTGCCCAGCTCCCACATCACAGTCCCCGCTCCTCTCCTAACGGGCCAAGTCCACTGTCCACCTCCTGGGCCCTGTGGCCAGCGGTCCTGCGTGGGGCCCTCGGGGAGGCCGTGTACCGCGTCCACGGGCAGAACGGCGGGGGTCCCGACAGCCCAGCCGGTGGTAGCGGGAGAGGTGTGTGGGAAGGCCCACCCGCACCCCATACCGGATGGACAGCCTGAGGCAGGGCCACTGCAGGGACAGCTGCAGGGCCGGGATGGAGGCCCGGCCCCACGGAAGCATCGCTGCGTACCCGAGCCCTGGCCCCGGGGAGGGTCTGTCCTGGGTGTGTGTGATGCGGACATTGGGGCACCTGGTGCAGAGAGAATCGTCCCAGAAGCACGGGCCGCCCTCGCGAAGGCGGGGGAGCTGGAGCATCAACATGCTATCCGCGAGGCTGGCTCTTCGCAGGCTTAGCCCAGAAGCCCTACCCTTTATTCTTCCGAGACTTTCAAGTCAAGGAGAGAAGGGAAGGCCGATCGTCATGCAGGTCTCCATTCTCTCCAGGGGAGGAAGACCAGCCTCCTCCCCGAGCATGGGTCCCTCCCTGCACCAAGCCCTGCTCCCAGCAGCCTCAGACAAGACCTGCCCTTTCCAGGGCCCGCTCGCCTCCACCCGCCCCCCTGCGCTCTGGCCCTCCCACACCAGCCAGGGACGGTCCTGAGGGGCCCTGGACACACAGCTGAGCTTCCGGAGACCCTGCCTGTCCTCTGCCTCGCGCTGGGAGAACATCCCTCTGTGCCCAGCCCCAGGCAGGCAAGCGCTGTCCATGGTGCTGAAGGAGGCCCGCAGACAGGGCCCCACAGGAGGCCAGCATGGCGCTGGGGGCCTCGGACCCCGTAAACAGGTCTGGTCACTGCTGCCCACCTAAGGGGAGTGGGTATTAAAGCTGGGTCAGCGCAAGCTTGCCCAGGAGTGAGCCCTAGGCCGCGTGGGGTGGGCGGGCCTGCATCTCGCCCCATGCCGCCCTTGGTGACTCAGGGCCCCTCTTTCAGAGAAGCACCAGCACAGCCGTCTGCCTCAGCCTACGCCCTCCATGTGCAGGGGCCCCAGGCTCACACTAGCCCATCCCTGAGGCGGGTCCGGATCACGTCCCACCACCAGGCCAGCTGGTGATCACTAATCCTAATCCCCCGCACTCTAATACCCCTCCACCATGTCCGGGACGGGCTCTTGGGTTCTGGGGTTCAGATGTCCAGGTCCCTGGGCATGTTTGGGGGTCACCACCTTGCGTCCCACCAGCACCCACAGAACTCTGAGCTGTGGGGTTTGGGAAGCCCTCTGCCTCACTCTGAGCTTCACAAGTGAGCCTCCCAGGGCCAGGTGCCAGCACATTCCAGGGTTGCGACAGGGAGGGGGGCAGGCACGTGGGGCTGGGGGCCCCCAGGGCGTGGTGTGTGCCCTGCCTTCCCTCTTGCCTCCTCCTCGCTCCCCTCTCGCCTTGACTTTTGGCGGCACAGAGGTGGGGGCTCCTAAGGGTCTGCGTCACATGCAGTTTAGAGCTGGTGAAGTGAAAGTCGCTCAGTCCCGCCAGGCCCCTCTGTCCATGGGATTCTCCAGACAAGCATACTGGAGTGGGCAGCCATTCCCTTCTCCAGGGGACCTTCCAACACAGGGATCGAACCCAGGCCTCCCACACTGCAGGTAGATTCTTCACCAGCTGAGCCACCAGGAAGCCCGTTTAGATCTAGGGAAGCCTGAAAAACTAGACTTTTTTTTGTTTCTCAGAATTCTATCATTTTCATGTTCCACCCTGAGAAGCTGCATGGCAGTTTTAAAAATGATAAATCAGAGTGAGGTCTTAGTTGAGCCCAACCAGAACATAGGCCCTTTCCAAGGGTTTTACACTTCAGGAAAAATACAAGTGATTTTGAGTAAAATTGGGACAAAATGCATTTAGTAGACAGTTTTAGAGGCATGTGGACACTGGAAAGCTAAGTGATGACTGGCCTTTATGGAAATGCCAGAAAGAGGTCTGGGGCGCAGGGAGCCTGCAGGGGCTGGTGGGGGTCAGCGGGACGCAGCTGAGGGGTCCTGGTCACCTCCCGCTGCCCGAAGCACCTGGCACCCCGAGCGAGCCAGGCCTCCCCAGAGGGGGCACCTCCAGGCTGGTACGCGGCGCGTGGGGCCTGCCCCTCACTGTTGATGATGTGCTTGGTGGACTTGGGCCCATCATAAACGAATGCACCAGTCCAGTCACTCGGACGCAGTGGCAATTACCAGGCAACAGCCATCAACCCGGCCGGCCGGCGCCGGGCACCTGCACTCAGCGGAAGTGCGCGGCTCCCATGACCCTGCCCGAGGTACGCTTGACAGCGTCTGCCTCAGTGTACGGTCCCGTCAGTGACACCCCGGAAGGAAGCCTCGGGAACCCGTCACTGTCATCAAAATGCCTCTGGAGCTTGTGCCGGGCACAGGGTGGCCAGCCGCCCCAGGCGGCACCCTGAGCTGCCCCTCCTGTTCCCATGCCCGCAGGGGTCTAAGCGCGAGGACAGAGCAGGTCAGGCCAGGCCCACTGTCCTGATGAGCAACGGCAGCTCCCAACGATGCATCCTCCAAGGGGTGGTGGGGCGCGGATGCCCCACAGACCTGGGCCTGTGGGGACACGGAGGCCTCCAACAGGGGGCTGAGGTGGGGACCCCCGCTCTCACACAAGCCCCTCGATAACCTCACAGCCCTCTTCCTGCTGGCTGAGCCGCACGCCCACCACCTCCCCCGACCCACCTGCAGCATCCTAGCCCTGGCCCCACAGCCACTGTCTGCTCTGCCCCCACCCCAGGGCAGCCTCCAACCTCCCCACCCCCCAGGGCAGCCTCAGCAGCAGGTGGGACTGCAAGATTCACACTCCCAGACCTGCTGAGCCAGAGACTGGGGCAGAGGCACCTGTGTGGTTCACCCACCCTCCCAGACCAGGGACCCAGCACTTGTGTGGTTCAGCCCCCAACACAACCAGGGGGCTCAGGCTGAAACCTGCCCTGTGCCTGAGCCCCAGCCTTCCCAGGACAATCTCTCTGGGACAGCTGGCCACGACTGGGTCAGGGGCTTGCCGCACCTCTTCACAACCTCAGGGCCACCTGTTTGCCCCAAGCCCTCCATGTGGCCCCCAAAGCACAGCCCTTGGCCTGGAGCCCCGTGTGACCCCCAGAGGTCTCACCCTCAGGCACCCAAGCAGCCCCGACTAAGGAGCCTCCACCTCTGCGTGCCCCGCCCCAGGCCTGTCCTGCTTCTCCGCACGCGCTCCGCCCGAGTCCAGCTCAGCGGACAGGACGGCACGTGAGCAAAGGAGCCCCCGGCAGTCAGAACACATGGGGAGAGGCAGGGTCACCCGGGTGACAAGGCGGGGAGGGGAGCCTGTGCGGACACACGGGGGCTGCCGCCGAGCCCGTCCGCCTGCCCGGGTCCAGCTCGTGGGGACCGGTGAGGGGACAGACACCTGGGGGAGGGCCAGGCCCGCGCCTGGACCCCGTGTCCACGGCCCGCGCCGTCCACTCCGTGGGCCCTCTGGGGAGACAATGAGCCCGGGGCCCGCTGTGAAGGGACGGGTGGGGCCGGGGGTCCCACACCTCGGAATCTCCGGGTCCGCTGTCTCCCGAGCGCGCCCAGTGCACGGCCGGGGCCGCTGCAGGCAGTGTGGGTGCTGGGCTGGCCCCACGGGGGCATCCTCTCCGGGTCCCCGGCCCCGCCCGCCACCTTCCGCCCCCAAGAGGCCCCCTCGGACTCCTGCCAGGCCAGGGACCCAGGAGCATCAGGCACCCCGGCGGGTGTGCGTTTTTATAGCCACAGAGCCCCGCACTGACGGATAAGCCTTTTAACACAAACATCCAGAGGAAAACAGCCACCTGTGGAGACAACAGGCGGAGGCTCACTGGCCTCGGGTGCTGCGGTGACTTGGGGTCAGTGGGGGCAGGAGGAGGCGCAGACGATCCCAGCATGGTGCTGAGCGGGGACCAGCTGCCCACAGAGGTAAGGGGGGCAGGCGGCACGGGGCGGGGGGGGCGGTGAGACCAGGGGTGAGGGTGGGGCCCCAGCAGCTGACTGCGGGGAAGGCCCAGCAGGCTGGACTTGGAGCTCAATGGGGGGTGGAGGGGGGCAGGCGTGGACTGAGCGCCGGGCGGGGCGCAGGTGCAGTCAGCGGCAGGCAGAGCCCACTCAGCCCCCAAGTGCCGCCCCTGCACCGCTGGACACACACGTGTCCTCGCTCCAGGGCAGGGGGCAGGCCCCCCGCTCCAAGGCTCTCGGGGGGGCCCAGGCTTTGCCGTAGAGCGGGCCTCACCCATGGGCTCCAGAGCTCACCCTCAGCTGTGGGCAAGGCTGACGGTCAGTCCAAGATAGTCTTGAAGTCCGCGGTCAGGGCGGGGTCGGCCGCCGCCTCCAGGGCGGCCCGCGTGGGCCCTGGGAGCCGCTGGTGCAGCCGCGCTCGGGCTGTGGGGGGGCGGGGAGGACTGGACTCAGAGCCCCTCGCGGAGGCCGCCAGAGACTGCCGCTCACTGGAGCCAGGCACAGCGCTGAGGCCACGTAGGCGCCCACGCTGGGCCAGACACCCCTGTGCGCTGGCGGGCTAGGGTGCGAGCCTCAGCAGGGTCCCGGGGCCACGGGGGCAGCTGGGCAGTGCCCAGGGGGACGCGGGTGGGGGGCGGCTGGGCAGTGCCCAGGGGGGTGCGGGTGGGGGGCAGCTGGGCAGTGCCCAGGGGGGCGCGGGTGGGGGGCAGCTGGGCAGTGCCCAGGGGGGCGCGGGTGGGGGGCAGCTGGGCAGTGCCCAGGGGGGCGCGGGTGGGGGGCTGGTGGGCAGTGCCCAGGGGGGCGCGGGTGGGGGGCAGCTGGGCAGTGCCCAGGGGGGCGCGGGTGGGGGGCTGGTGGGCAGTGCCCAGGGGGACGCGGGTGGGGGGCTGGTGGGCAGTGCCCAGGGGGACGCGGGTGGGGGGCTGGTGGGCAGTGCCCAGGGGGCGCGGGTGGGGGGCTGGTGGGCAGTGCCCAGGGGGGTGCGGGTGGGGGGCAGCTGGGCAGTGCCCAGGGGGACGCGGGTGGGGGGCTGGTGGGCAGTGCCCAGGGGGCGCGGGTGGGGGGCAGCTGGGCAGTGCCCAGGGGGGCGCGGGTGGGGGGCAGCTGGGCAGTGCCCAGGGGGGCGCGGGTGGGGGGCAGCTGGGCAGTGCCCAGGGGGGCGCGGGTGGGGGGCAGCTGGGCAGACACCGTGGGAAGAGACCCCGAGAAGGGCAGTGAGAGGCAGCGTGACCCGGGTGGGCATGCCCTGGACAAGGCGGGGCTGTGACCCTGGCTCCTGGGGGCTCCTGGACCCACCCACCTGCTCGAAGCGGGTGCCTTGTGGCCGCCCACACCCACCTGTCCGGAGGGCCCCCAGCAGGCGGCTGTAGGTGACTCGGTGGCGAGCCAGCTTGTGCAAGAAGGCGTGGAGACACAGCCACTGAGCGGCTTCAGACGGGAACGGGCCAGAGGCACCCCTGGCCCCCAGTGACACCCCTGGGGACACGGGAGACTGAGGCCCCGCCCGACGCTGTGCCAGGGAGACTGGGGGCCTCCAGGTGGAGAGCATCAGCGTGGTTTTGGGGACGGTGTTGGGGGGGGCGTAAACTGGCCGTTTCATTTCAGGGGCCACCCCGATAGGAGCCCAGGGAATTCTGACAACTGACACGTTTTCTTCAACTTCTCCAAGAAAGCTCCATAGACATAGTGACAGGAAGCCTGCGAAACCCAGGACCTCACAGACCACACAGCCGAAACCTCAGATGCATCGGCAAAGCCCCGGCTGAGGCCGTGGCCGAGCTGTGGGCTGGAGACCCCAAAGCACATGGGGGCCCCTCAGTGGGCTCCTCCCCAGCATGAGCAAGGGTGGCCCAGGGCCTCCTGTGGCCCATTGGCCTGGCTGACCCAATGCCCAGGGCACCAGGGCAGGAGGGCTGCCTGTGAGCAGGCGGGGTGCACAGGGCAGCACCCCCAGCCGGTGCCCAGGCGCCCAGTCACTCCAGGCCAGTGGGGAGGACAGGCTGGTGGAGGGCCTGAGCCGCCAGCATGATAAAGGCGCCCAAGCCCAGTCTCCCGCCCCGTGGGGTGTGGGGGGCATGCACCTAGTGTCCCAGCCCCCCGCCGACCCTCAGCCCCCGGCGCCCGAGCACCTGCGTTCCTGGCTTTCAGGAGGGCGTAGCCACGGGATGCGGTGTCGGAGATGACCCGGAGGAAGAACCCGGGGCTGCTTCCAACTGGCTGGCTGAAGGGGAGCTGCAGCACGCAGGCGTGGAACCTGGAGGCGGTGGCCCCATCAGGACACGGCCCCCCGAGCCGCCCGCGCGGGGCTCCCTGGAGACCACGCAGGCTAAGCCCGGCTCGGGGTCCCCTTGGCGGGTGGGAAGGGGTCTCGGTCAAGGGCAGACGAGCCCCAGACTCCACGGTCAGCTGCCTGCGCCCCGGCTCGGCTCCTGGAGGGGTGCATGGTCCCAGGGCAGGGAATGTTCCGGAAGCTGGTCTGCTCTGACTGGAGCGGCTTCCCGCTAGCCCCTTTGGGGGGCACCTGAGGGCTGGGGGCCACTGCACGCACTGACCTCTGCTCCCTGACCCCCCCTCCACCTGCAGCCCTCCCGCTGCACCAACCCCCGCGGACCAGGTCCCCCAGCGCTCCCTGGGGACAGAGCAGTGTCCCGGGGCGGTCGGGGACACCGAGGATGCAGGGGCTGCCTCCTCGCACGGGAGAGGGGCGTGCCCCCCAGGTCCCGGGTGGCCACGGGCGAGCGCAGCACTGCGACTGAGGCCTCACCCCCCCCAGACTCACCTGTGGGCCTGCAGCAGGAATATCTTGTAAACGTTTGTGAAGACCGTCTGGAGACTGTTCACCTGCGGAAGGGAGAGAGGGCACGCCGGTGACGCCTCTGGCTGTGTTTCTGATTTTGCTTTACAGCCACGTCACGCACAGCAGGAGAAAGGACTGCCCTGATAAGAACCCAGTGGCCTCTCCGGGGTAACCGACCAGGTCCCCCGGGGCCCTCAGAGGTGGCAGTGTGGGCAGGCCCGCAGGAAGGGCGAGGGTGGGAGCCCGGCCGGACTACGGCCCAGACCCCACAGCCCCATGACTGAGGCCACAGAGGCCCCGCCCCACGGGGATGAGCAGGGGCCAGGACAGCAGGCGAGGGCTGTGGGCACACGCATGCACACACGCTCGGTCATACATACACGAGCACACACGTACGTGATGACTCATGCTCTTTCACACACAGGCACACGTGCATACCCACATGCTTGGTCACACACACACATGTACATGATGACTAATGCCCTTTCACACACAGGCACACATGCACACCCACACACTCGGTCACACGTACACGAGCACACATGTACATGATGACTAATGCCCTTGCACACATGTGCACATGCACATGCTCGGTCACACATACACGAGCACACACATATGTGACGACTAATGCCCTTTCACACAGATGCACACCCACACACCCACCCCCCCAGGATCTACAACACATGGGGGTACCAGCTGCCCCCGCGCCCCGTGGCCACGCTCACCCACCAGCCACCGCCCACCTGCAGGTCCAGGAAGAGCCCATGGCACTTGAGCTGCAAGACCGCCAACAGCTTGCGATGCATGTTCCTCCCGGGCCTGAAGCCCTGGGTGAAGGTGAGACTCGCTCTGATGGATGTCCGGGCATAACTGTGAGACAGGACGGGGTCCTGGGAAGCGCATGTGTCCACCCCACACTGACCCACACTCAGATGCCCCGCCTCTCAGATACACTGGCCAGGAAGGCCGCCCGTCCCCCGCACGGTCACAGCATCACGGGCAGCCAGACACGATGGCAGGTGGGTCACGACTCGTTGGTGTGGTCGGTGCATGGACACAAGAGGCAGTGTCGGGACCAGCAGATGGACACACGGAACCGCAGATGAAAAGCGTCTGCCCCTGCGTCTTCCCAGGGAGCGCCTGGTGAGGGGCCGGGGGCAGACCCCAGCTCCCCAGCAGGATGGGGCTACCAGCGCAGGACAGGGTAGCCCCATCTAGCACTGCCCTGAAACTGCTTGTTACTCATAAAGCCTGCATCCACGTCTCTCCTCAGCCCCTCCCTGTCTGTGCAAAGCCTGGGGCTCACTGCATGCTCTGAGGGCGGGGATGCGGAGAGGGCCACCAGGTGCTGAACTGTGTCCCCAAAGTCACAGGGTGAACCTCGACCCCCGCGACTGTTCGGGGACAAGGCCTTTGAGATGGTGATTAAGGCAAAATGAGAGCAAAAGGGAGGGGTGTGTAATCCACTGGGACAGGTGCCCCAAGAAGAGACGCTGAGATGCTGAACACAGAGGTCGACCATGTCGGGGTTGGGGGCGCAGACAGATGCATCCACATGCCCCGGCAAGGCCCCAGGAGGGATCGGCCGGGGAGGGAGCTGTGACATCACCAACAGAGCTGACCACGTGCCCTGAAGCCCTGTCCCCGACAGAACAGAGGGGACCCCGAAGCCCAGAGCCCAGTGAGACCTGGGGCTCGTGTCCAGCAGGTCCTGCCTCTCCGGTTCACAACCACACGCCTTCCCAGGGAGCACGCTCACCCCAGAACCTGCCACACGGTTTCCTTTTATAGAAAGTGCCAGGAAAACCGCTGCCTCGGAGTCGGCCCCACCGCCCTCCGTGTGGCCTCTGACCCTAGGCCC